CATTTATTACATTTACAGCAAAAAAGTTTGAGTAAATAAATAAAAAGATTTTAAAAGCATTTAAAAGCAAAAATGTTCCCAGTTAAATACAGTGATTATTATATATTTTTATACTATTATAATAATAATTTAATAAATATTTTCATTAAAACAATAATAAAATATGAGCTTCAATTACTCATGAAAAAGAGGTTTTTAATCACCAGTAAAATAAAAGTAATTTAATTAAAGCAAAAAAATAAAAATTATAACAAGTAAAAAAAACGAATTTTTAAAACCCGATGCTTTTATATGTTAATGTTATGTAAAACACAAATTTTGCAATCAATTTTTTCTGATATTACTAATTTATTTTATTAAGCCATTATGGTTAAATTTATTTTTCATGAAGTTTTTCTAATTGCATATAAAAATTTTTCTTCTTCCCATATAAAAAATAAACTTAATTAAAATTAACTAAATTAATTGACTTATTGCAAAACTAATTGATGAATACTGTATTGTCATCAAACAAGAGTATGAAGGCAAAATTTGAATAAAATCTATCATCAGGAGGTGACTCCTGAAAAAATTGATTTGCAAGATTTGATGTTAACAAACAGATTAACAGACAGAGATGAGGAGTTGATAAAAGTATTGGGAAAAAGATATAGCTTATGTCAACAAAGCAAATTAAAGCAGCACACTGTACACAATAAAAATATTTTAAATGCTTATTTAAAATTTAAATGATTTTATAACATTTAAGTATACGCATTTTTCAAATTTTTACATCATGATTATTTTTAAAAAATTGTTTTTCTAAACTCTGATTTTTTTTCAACTGGTCAATAATGTCCGGCAAGAATTCATTTTGGGAGGTCAAAATAGCAATTTCAGTCATTTCAGGCGATTGTTGACTCTTGACCAGTTGTTATTTTCCGTGCTAAGTTACAAAAATTTTAAACTAGTGTTTTCAACCTTTCTGATCAGTCACATTCTGGGCGCCCATCTTTGATTGATGATGACATTATTAGGAACATGTTGGAACAAGATCCTTTTCTGACAATATCCGAGATTGCAGAAACACTTAAATCAGCTCAGCAATTTTTCGGACTATATTCAAAAGATAGAATAAGTATGGAAATATTCAAGATGGGTGCCATATGAATTAAGTCAGAAGAATTTGGATGATCGAGTTGCTATATGCACACCTAAAATTGCTCAGAACAGAACCAAGCAATTTCTGAACAGGATAATAACTGGGGATGAGAAATAAATTACTTACAAAAACATCGTAATAAAATTGTGAACTAGGAAAGAATATTGTGAACCAGAAAACTAATGTAAGAATATTGTGAACCAGGAAAACCATATCTAAACCACATTTGACTCTAAATAAGAATGTTGTGTATTTAGTGGGAGATTCAAGGACCAATATATTATGAGCTTTTAGAACCAAACGAAAAGCTTAGTTGGGAGAAGTACTGTCAGCAACTGGATAATTTAAAGACAAAAATCCAAGAAAAAGCCCAGCGACATTTAATAGGAAGGACATCGTATTTCATTATGATAATGCCAGGCCGCATTCTGGTTTAGAGACTCAATAAAAATTTGCAGAACTAGGCAAAGAAATTTTGTCACATCCACCATATTTCCGGGACTTAGCGCCCTCCTGTTTGTCCTTACAAAATTTCTTGAATGGGGAAAATTCGAAAAAGAAGAAGATATCAAACAAGCACTGGTTTAATTTTTTGAATCATACAATAAAATGTTTTTCAAAAATGGAATAAACAAATTACCATCTCGCTGACAAGATGTCATTGAAAATAATGGCAATTATATTATTCAATAAAGTTTATAGGTGATATCAAAAGTTTGTATTTTATTTTGTTTCAAAAGCAGACAGAACTTTCAGGTAGAACTAATCTCTATATATTATTGCTAAACTTAATAGTAGTGCTGTTACCAGTGCCCTTTTGAGCATGTTTAACACGGAATCCTTAGCAGCCATTGCAAACAAGGTAAAAGCTAGAAATTCTAAAAACATCAAAACACCGGGAGAAAATATTTGTTGTGTATGTATCATGATTGAGATACGTATGTTATTAATGTGCTCAGGTAATTAGTCCTAATAAGCTGCGGATGGTCGGAAAAAAAAAATTGATTGAAAGTTAATAAAGAAAAAACTTAATAAGACAGTCCTGGTATCCCAGAAGGTGCTGCTGTGGAGGCAAAAAAAAAAAAAAGCCTGTAGCTAGTCTTTTGAAAATTATAAGTTTTTTTTTGCTACATTTTTTTTTTTTTGTTGCAGCCATTTTTGAAAATGCCTTAATCTGCTTAGTATGTATTTCAAGAAAAATGCAATTCAAAAAAATTATTAAGAGAAACTCTTTGTAAAACGTTTTTTGAAACAAATAATTTTTAAGGATTTTTTTCAGAACTCTTTAAAAATACATATTCAATAACGTTTGTAGACATCTAAACCAACCCTATATAAACAATATTTATATAAACAAATATGTTATTTATTTATATATATTATTTATAAAATTTAAAAAATCTACTTATATAATATTTTATTCAGGATTGTATGTAATATAAGTAAACTTTTCTAATAATTACAAGTCTTTTTTGCTCAAGCTGTTTTGTTTTGAATTTTTGTATGTATATTATTATATTTAAGAAATTGACAATATTGAAAAAATACAAAACATATTGACATCCAAGTGGAAAATTTGAAACTTCTATTTTAGATTCGCCCCACTTAAAATTTTTTGATTGCTAAAACTATGCTTCTTAGACCATTAAAAATAATAGATGCGACTTTTTCGTTACTTATTGAAACCACAATCTTTTTTTCGTATGCGATATCACTTTGTGGCAAAAAAACTAGAAAAACAAACTAGAAATAAGATTTTTATTTAAATTTTTTAGGAAAACTTCTTCTATCAAAGATGTATGGATTATATTTTTATGGTATATATTCTAATACAAAACTATTTATTTATTACTATTGTCATAAATACAAACTCTTATCAGTAAAATGATATATCTGTACCAGTTTTATATTTGTGCAATTGTATGTAACGTAATTAAAATAAATCAAAAATTGTTGATAAATGCAAAAGGAAACTTGACACATAAAGGTTTCTTTTGCCACAAACTGATGTCAATCCGCAAAAATTTGGCCTAACTTTTAGATTAGCATTTATCAATATTCTTTTATTTTTAATCATAATCATAAGAATAAATTATTTTTTTAAGAGTATGTTTTAGTGGTCTAAGATCTTCTTAGTTTCATTTGTATTGCATTACGTACAAACATCTGTAAGTGAAAACGTCTTTAGCATATGTTGAGTTTGCAGGCATTATATGGAATAATTGTGTATAATATATCTATAAATTGAGAAAACTTAAAATTTTATTTTTAATTTTAGAAATCTTTTTTGCTATATTATTATTTTGCTATAAATATATAAGCAAGATTAAAAAAATTTCAAAACTTATTACGCTAAGAGGAGATTCTAAACCCCCCAAAACAACACTGATGACAGCGTACTTAACCACTGAGCTATTAATAAAATGCATTTAGAAAAAAAAAAAACCTAATTATAAGTCTCTTATAAGCTCTATGTCGGCGGAAAAGGTGCGCAAGTTTTTTGCTCCAGAAGTTTTTTTCAGAATAAATTACTTTACTAAAAAATATTGAAGAAAATAAGGAATAGGTATATAAATAATCAGTAATAGATATGTATAAAAATGGTAGGTTTAGTAAAGACCCGTATTTTACGGATCCGGAAAGCTAGGGTATAAGGAAAAAGTATAGAAAAGTTCAGTTTGGAATATATTTACAGCTACCCGAATTTTACCGTTCCGATCTCAGCTAGTATATATGAATACAATACAATTATATTATATAAAAGTATTATAAGGATTTAAAAAAAAACACAAAATAGTATAAAACTTTCATTTTAAGACTATATTTTGGAAAAATAAAATTATTTAAAAACAATATGACATATTTTACATGTTACTTTATTGCTTTTACATTTTGTGTGTGTGTGTATGCACCGCTGATCATAGCATCAAAGGTGCATAAACGCATTAGGATCAAGGGTGCTAACTCGCTCCATGTTTAAAAAAATTCTTTTTTTGTCATACTAGATACTTCTATAGCTTACCAAAAGCAACCACACAAGAGGTGAATAGTTTAATTACAAAATGGCATAAGCAAAACTACTCAACTCAAAAAAATATTAAATATCTGAGGTTCCTTGTAAAAGTAAAAATATTACTTTTGTCGTCAAAATTAAACTTTTTAGAAATAAATTTAACAGTGGTCTATTTTCTAACTAAAGCACAATTAATTTTGAAGATACAGAATTTAACACGGTGGTTATCAGTCCGCTTTAAAGAAGTGGACTGTACAATAAAAGAAGTGGACTGTGCAAGTAAAGAGAGGTGGACTGTGCAAGTAAAGAGAGGTGGGCAATGCAAGTAAAGAGAAGTGGGCTGTGCAAATAAAGAGAGGTGGGCTGTCCAATGAAACTCAATTGTTGGTACATGCACAACACTTGTGTCTTTATTTATAAGAGGGTAATTCTTCTTCATGTTCAGTTAGCTTTACTGATTTTTTTATATGATTTCCTAAAATCACCCACAAAAAATCCTAAATGTTTTGTCTATTATTTTTATAATAATAAAACTAGCAATTTCAAATTTACTACTATTTAATTTTAATTTATATAAAAATTTTATAAATTAAGAATGGTATACATTAGTAATATTATCCAAGAATAAATAAAGTTTGAAACAGGAATAGCTGAGACTATCAGCTATTAAATCAAACTAAATGATGATATATTAACACCAAAAATGCAATCAACGACATTAAATGATATTAAAAATGCATTTAACCATGTTAAATGATATTTGAAATAAATAAATAAAAACAGTAATAAAAATTAAATAAAATTTAACTTTAAAGTTTAAAAAGAATAAAAGAAAATAAAGATTACTTTGAATTTCTTTCTTTAGTTCCACTTATGCTTACACCTAAATAACCAAATAAAAAAAATGCTGGCAACTGGATAACTCAAATAAAAATAGGATTAAAACATATATAATTCTAATGTAAATTAACTATAAATATGATGTGCGCCTGTGTATACGCGGTCAAAAAGATCCAAAAATTATAGCAACAAACCTGTATTACTGTATACTGTACGCATTTACTACTAAAAAACATTTAAATTCAAAAACAATATGGACAAAAAATAATAGAAAAGTCACAGTATAAAACATGACTTGGTACTTTGTAAGGACTTTTTGAACTTTTAGAACAGCCTCTATTATTTGCAGCATCAAGGCAACAAGAGACTCACAATATTTGGGCGTTAATTTATGACACCTATGACCATAAAAACATCAAACTCTCTGATTTTAAACCATTTAGAAACTTTGTTCTTCAAAATTTTCAAATAATTCACAGAATATCCTTTTATTGAGAAAGGTGTAAACAAGTACTTTGAAGATCATTTGCAATGACATCGCAAATGGTGAAAGCATTTATTTAACAATGAAAAGGGAGAAATAGAAAAATAAAATAAATTATTTTAATGAATAAAAAAGATAAGTTAAAAATAAAGTAAAATAAAAAAAAATATTAAAAGGTATAAACGAACTAAAAGATCAAAGAAAAAATAAAACAAGAAAATGAACAAAAAAGTAAAACAAACAAATAGATTTAATAAAATAAAACAAAAACAATCAAAAGCAAAATAACAAGTTGAAAAAAAGAAGTTCAAAAAAAATGTTCAAAAAAATAATAAAAAGAGCTAACTAAAACAAAAATAACTTGCTAGAAATTTTTCTACGCTTTTCTGTTTCTGTTAAAAATCACAAATATAATTCATTTTATTTTGTAGAAGGTTTTGTGCTTGTCTTTTTCGTTATGTAATTTTTGTTTTCATTTTGTAGTTTTTGTGCTTGCTTTTTTGTTTGTTATTATTTGTGCTGATGTTGCTAATTATTTTCATTGTTGTTATTGAGTGTTTTCATATTTTTTTGTCTTTTTATTTAATTTATTATAGCTTAATCATTTTTTTTAAATCGATCTAACTTACGCATGCTTTTACTTATTAATGATGCTGTTAAATTTTTTGTTTGTTTATTTTATTTTACTGTCTCTTCAATAACTAGTTTTTAACTATGAATGACACTTATCCTAATTTTGTAAAATTATAAAAATTATCAATTTTCAATATTTGGTTAAATAAATGGATATTTATAGAACGAATATTGGCAGGTACCACCTTAAATCATAAATGGTGGACATAGCTTAACAGAAAATGCAATGTATCTATGTAACTTTTAGTCGTCTACAAGATTTGCTCCAAATCCTGTGAAGGGCATACTCCAAGATAATAATTAATGAATTACACATGATTTTATTGTATATAAAATATTTATATACAATCATATAAGATACTTTCTTATTGTTTAAGAAAAAAAAATTTTTTTTTTTTAATTTTTATCTCCTGTTGTCACAAACAATGAACTTTTGTGACCTGAATATTTACAATTTATGTTTTATGTTTAGTTGTTTATTGTAACAATGTAACTAAGATGTTCATAAGAGTTTTTATATATATATATTTTTTTTATGTGTGTTATTTAAATGAATCCCAATTCAAAATATTAATGGCAAAGTTCTCTTTTGTATGTATGTATGTATGTATGTATTGTGTGTTTAAGTAAGCAGTCTGACATAATACTGAGTATATACATAGACTGACAAACAAGTAAAACATGCAAGGGAGTGCCACTACATTAACTAAAGGTTAAAGCTGGTGCAGCAATCTTTATTTTTTCTGAAAAAGCCTTATGGAATAAATAAGGCAAAAAAAAGTGAGCATTTGCTAATCTTGGTACAAAATTCCACACCAAACCATTCAAGCTATTTTAAACTTTGAACCATGGTTCCTCAACTCTTTTGAACCCTTTCCAACACTTTCCAAAGAAAAATTTAAATTCTAATTTTAATACTGACCTGGTTTCCAAAAGTCATTTCAAAAATGTTAATCAAAATGAGAAATGAAAACAGCAAAAAAAAAAAAATAATAATAAAAAAAAATATATATATATATAATTATTGAAAAGCATATTATTGGAACTTTTTAGATGTTGTTGAGTTCTAGTCCTAACTTGAAGTTATGACTCAAGTTCTGGTTGAGGAAATTTTGTTTTGTTTTTTGATGTTAGTAATTTTCTTAAATTTGGATTTGATTTAAATACTACTCTATAGCCAGCTTTCCGAAATCTTTTCCTTAGTTTCAGGGATAGTGATTTTGGGGATAGTGGAATCCACAGTAACGATACAGTAGGGAGGTTAAGAGAGTCTGATTGAATTTTGTTGAATTTTAGGGACTGTTTGTTTCCAATTAAGTTTGCAATCCGTTTAACTTGGCATATGATGTACCCATTTTCGTTTAACATTTGAATAAGGAAATTAATCTCATCTTGTAAATGTAAATTACTGCATATAGAATAAACCCTGTGAGCGTAACCTTTAATTATTGCATTTAGAATCTTAGAGGCATGATTTAATTGAGGTCAAATTTGGATATTAGTAATGGCTTTCTTTCTGTAGACTTTAACTCGTATTTTTCTTTGTTGTTATTAATTATAGTTAAATCAAGGAAGTTCTATTTTCGCTTTCAGTTTCGATCATATATTGTATCACAGAGTGATGTTTGTTTAAGATAATTAGGAACTGCTCTGCTTCTTGAGTGTTAGAAAATCTAGTGTGACTATCGCCGACATATCTTAGATAGGATTTTAGGTCAATAGGAGGATTTACTGCCATTGTAATTTTGAAAGAGTTTTGTTCATGATGTTGTTAAAATGATTCTGCAAGTACAACCATGAATGAAAGGCCTTTAGGACCAGAATTCTCAAGGTCATTGATTAAGTTGTTCCACAGGAAATAACAACAGTGTAAACAAAGCTCTATGAGTTGTCTTGCTTCAGATATAGTAAGCTTGGTAGAATATTTGTAGGAATCATCTTTATTTTATTGGTCTATAAGAATCAAAGTAGCTTCCTTTAGTGGTATTGATGGATACAAGTTTATTACATCAAATAAAACTTAAACCTTGTTTTTGCTAATCTTCCATGAATTTGCTTTACAAATAAAATCAAAAGAATTTTTTGGACGCGTTTGGTTTTTGTATTTTGGACGCGTTTGGTTTTTGTATTTTGGACGCGTTTGGTTTTTGTATTTTGGACGCGTTTGGTTTTTGTATTTTCATTACTAAGTAGTGCTGAAAACGGCCTTGTAAATGTGAAAATTGGAACCTCATTGGAACTTTTTAGATGTTGCTGAGTTCGAGTCCTAACTTGAAGTTTAGTTTCACCTACTTATCTCTTTGAGCATTTGCATTCAATCAAATAAATTCTGGATTAACTATTATGTCAAAAAAAAACAACTAAATTTCCACATAATAGTCAACCCGGAACTTATTTGATTGAATGCAAATGCTCAAAGAGATACATAGGCGAAACTAAACTAAACAAATTAGGACTTGAATTCAGCAACATCTAAAATGTTTAAACAAGGGGAAACATTATCAGTCTGCAATAGCCACTCATAATAAGTTTTGCTCACAAGAAATAAAGTGGGAAAACGTAAAAACAATTAAAGTTGAATCAAAAAAATTTGATCGAATAGTGCGCAAAGCTCTTGAAATACAGAAGTTCCAATCTTAATTAAGGGTTGTGTCTAGATCATATTACAAAAAATTTTATTTTAGTATTTTGTCAAACAAGAACATTGTGGACTGGCAGACTGCCTCTCCAAACCGAAACCCTCAGTCAATATGTGTTCATTCCATGGCACCTCTCCCTAAATCAGTTTTTGTATGTACAATAGGGTTATGACTAAAAAATTTTTATCTCCTGTTGTCACAAACAATGAAATTTTGTGACCTGAATATTTACAAATTATTGTTAGAGCTAGTTCTAAAAAATGTTCTTGCACCAAGACACCTGACAATATGGTAAGTGTCAAATTTTACCAAAAACATTTTTCTCCCTAAGTATATCATGTTGACCTCAAACGAAGGGAAATTTTATAGAGATTTTACAAAGAACAATATCAAATGTAACTTTCTTAAAAAAGATGATGTTTAAAAACATCTTAAAAAGTGATTTTTTTCAATTTTTTTATTTGAAAATGTTCTTTTTTTAAAATAAATTTGAAAAATTGATTTTTATTTAAAAGGTTTAAATTTTTCAAACTTTCTATGAAATTTCTTCTTTGAGACCCAACTTGATATATTTTTGGAGAGACAAATATAACATGGCACCCAACATGTTGTCAGGTGTCTTGGTGCAGGAACCTTTTTATGAACTGAACAAAATAAATGTGATTATCTTAATTAGTATTAAAATATTCATTTATTCCTACTACAGGCAAAAAAACTTTTTTTTTGTCATAACTCTAATTTACACTCTACTACGACTATCCCTCAGTTGATATATGTTCACTCACTACATTTATCCCTTATTAGTTTATTGTTTGGCAAATTAATAAAGTCATCAAAACCATTGAAAGTGGAATATGACCTAGACATGACCTAAACTAAATTAATTTGAAAAATTACTAACCTATGTGGAACTTTAAAACAGAAAAACTACCCAAATTGTGCTTAATAATAGCATAGACTTTAGGTGTAGTTAACAGTCAAAGAGCTTTATACGCTCTCTGAAAAATAATTCTAGAATCTATATAAGAGAAGTTAAAGACTTTCATAAAGTATATCTGTCTGACTGCATTGAATGTTTTAAATGCAGCAATAAGCTTTCCATCTTTTCGAAAATGACTGAACTAGGCATGCCAAATATATATAAACTATTGCTTCAAACTTGATTGCTTATAATCAAATTGTATACTGGCTAACTCAATAATTTAAAAAAGCTTAGTTACAGTTAGTATTAAGAAATATAACATACCTAATAAAAAATATAACATACCCATTAAAACATACTCATTGATGTCCATTAATTAAAGCAACTTGTCTCATAAGCATTATCGCAGTCATTATCACAGACATTAGTCACAGGATAATGGTAAAGTTACCTCCTTTTATAGCAAATGCTTTAAATGAAAGATGTTCTAAGTTTGATCCCCACCTGGTAATACTGAGTAGAACTTATTTCTCTGTGCAGCAGCCTTGTTCTCTTACTATCATGTTACTAAATGAGTTAGAGTGGATCATGTTACTGAGGAGTTACAGTGGATAAAGGAACAAAAAAAAGAGAAAAGCCCTCTCTTGGCTTTTGAGTAAGTAAATACAGTACAAACAACTCATGAATACATTAAAAATAGTAAAAAATGAATACAGTAAAAAAAGTAAAAAAAATCATGTAATTTAGGAAGAATTTTTTTTAAGATCTAGATACAACTTTTTACAAGTAAATCTGTTGTTTTAATTTTTTAATTTAGGAGCTCCTGGCAGAACCAAATGTGTACCTTTGAAAACAATTTCTTCCATAAACAGTAGCGCCTAGCATTTTAACTAAAAGTTATAAAAATTGTAAAAAACTTGATAAATCAATAAATAGAGTAAACATTAATCTCTTCTTGAAATATTCATCTTTTTGTGTTTATTTTTTCCGAATATTTGTAAAGTTATCTACAACAACATTAAGGTTTTTTTTTTATGGTAGATTCTGGAGACACTAAATCAGGTGTGTGAATGAAATCCTTCTATTCTGGCCATGATTTAGAAACATGCTACTCTGTGAATTCTGTACAGCTAGCCAGACACTGAGAAAGAATAAGAAAACTAGTTATTAATCTTTTCATATTAGTTTATGATTGCTTTTCCAAGATATTTTTTGCTGTCACTTTAAAAACATGAAAATGGTTTTAAAAAACTAAGTTTATATTATTCAGTGCAGAATTTTTTATTAAAACATTTAAAAACAAAAAAAAGTAACAAAACAAAATCTTTTAATTTATTTAAAGAATTTAAACTATTTTTAAAAAACTATACTTTAATAGCTTGTTGGCAATAGTATTGAGTTATTGCTTGTAAAAGCATAAATTTTTTTTTAAAAGCTGGCAAGGTTTTGAGCAGTGTTTTAAAGATTAAATTTCAGCTTTAAAGAAACTCAATTGTTGTAGGCTTGCTAAAAACCTAATTTTTAATTACATGTCTACAAAATGGCTTCAAACTGGATCAAAAAAATTCAGTGCTTCCTCTCCATTCCAAGAAAATCCAAGAACTCAACTATTTCAAGCTTTTAATTTTGACTTGAAATAAAAAGCAGCTCTTAAAAACATAAATTCAGAGTTGATGTTTTGTTTTATATCTTTTAATTTAACTTTGATTATGCGGACATGGCGCAGTGGTTAAAGCACTTGCTTTATAAGCAGGAGATCCAGGTTCGAAACGAGCTTTAGACATATTTTGCATCACGGTAACAAAGGAGGTGTAAACTTCCTGGTTAATTGCACTTCCGCAGTGCTCTGTGACAAGACCGTAAGGACTTCTTAGGGCACCTAAATAGCAAAGAAAAAAAAAAAAAAAGTAATAAATTATAAACCAGTCATTTCCTGCCTTCCAGCATTCAAAACTTCCTTTAACCAAAATTGAAGATTTGTAAATGATTTACGATTTGAGAGATCATGAACAAGAATCAAACCTAGACAAAAACAACTCTTTATAAAAAGTTTTAAAAGTATCTGTTGATCATAGTTAGTTTTGGGGAAAAAAAATGAAAAGAAATAATTGTAAATTTGAAATAAAACTGTATCTTAGTTCAATTTGGAAGAAAACAAAAAACTAGAGTTAAAATTATAAATCTTTTTTAATATAAAATAAATAATATGACATAATTAATAATGAATATGAAATTAAATAAGTTGTAAATAAATTAAAACATATTAATAACACAAATAACAAAATAAATAATAATAATAAATAAGTTAACATAAGGTTCAAATTTAGAGATAAAAAATTTAAAAAGTAATCTTACCATTAATATTTGAATAAAAAATACCACGACTATGCTTGTTTCCGGATGAACCTCCAACATCCCAGAATTCAAGAAATACATCACGTGAATGTCCATGCTGTCCAGAATATGTGTAAGGCTAAAAAATATTTTCTCGTTAAAAAAGTATGGGTATAATGAAAAAATTACTTTCCAAAAAAATCATGCCTCATCAAAACCAAAATCATGATCACAAAACATTATTTGGTTTAATCCTCCGTTTTTGCAAATTGTAAAAACCAATGTTGCAAAAAATATTTTAAATCTTATTTAAAAGTATTTTCCAAAAATGCATAAGTTTTGCAAAACGCATAAGTTTTGCAAAACGTTTAATAAGAATAACTTAGAAGTAAGTTGTAGCTGTCTTCCTAATGTCACCAATATTATTATTTCATACAATAAAAAAGTATAATCTAATGTTTCCAACACAATTGCTCTAACGTGTAACTACTAGCAACCTTCACAATGTCCTTTGCAAGGTATGTGTCTTAGTAAAAATATAATTTACGTCTTCAAAATAAAAACATCCCTGCAGGATAGTGGTTTTAATTATATTGGTTTAGCCGAACACACCTTTAATGATCATTGGTACAATCATAAAAACTCATTTTAATACGAGAGTGCGACAAAAAAAACATATTGATTAAAGAGGAACAAAAAAATAATGTTAAAAGATTAAACAAAAATGAAATTGTACAAAAAGACATAGAAGAAAGTCTGAACTTTACACAAGACATGCAAGAAAAAAAAAATCTCGAATTAGAAAAAAAAATCATTTCAAAATCAGAAAGCAGAGATACGGAAGATAATAAACTAAGGCAGCTTGAAGATAGACAAAGGAAGAATAATCTTCGAATAGAGGGTTTATCGGAAAATTAAAAAGAAAATTAGGATGACACCGAACTGAAGGTATTAAATATTTTTGAAGAAAAACTTAATTTAAAAGGAATTGTAATTGAACGAGCTCACAGGTCAGGAAAAATTGAAGCAGGTAGACCGAGATCAATAGTAATGAAACTGTTAAATTACAAGGATAAAGTAAAAGTTTTAAAAAGTGAATAAACTAAAAGGGTCTGGAATATATATCAATGAGGATTATTCAATGGAAACTGCATCTATCAGGAAAAAACTACTCAAGCAAATGAAGGTACATAGGAAAAATGGTAAGTTTTTGGTTGTAATTTACAATAAATTAATAGTAAAAGAATTCAGGAAATTACCTACTAAACTTTAAATATTTTATACTTTAAATACTTTGTTAGTATAACCTTTCTTGTTGTTATGGAAGATATGAATTTTTGTGAATTAAGTTTTAAGAATTAAGTTTTCAGACAAATAAAAATATACTTTTAGAGAGTCATTCAGATCCAGATGTTAATTTTTTTAACACTGATGAAATAATTAGCAAGATATGCCCTTCTTATTATAATTTCGATATTTCTAATCTTTCTGCTGATATAGATATTAATGAGTTCTCTATTTTACACTTAAATATTAGGAGCCTCCAAAAACATTTTGATAAATTTAAAGATTTTTTATATAGTGTTGAAATTAATTTTAAAATTATTTGTCTGACAGAGACGTGGTGTCGAGATAAACAGGTTGAAAAAGATTCAAATTTTTAACTACAAAACTATAAAGTTATTCATCAAGTTAGAAATTCTGAGACAATAGGTGGAAGAGTATGTATTTTTATTCACAATTCTTTAAATTTTAAACCGCTAACCAAATTTAGAGTAATATAGTATGATTGCGAATCACTAACGATTGAAGTTATAAATAAAATCACTAAAAACATCATTGTACATGTTGTGTACAGACAGCCATCTGGCAATATCAAGTTTTTTGAAAAACACTTTGAAAATTTAATTAAAAATAAAATTTTATATGGCAAACGTGTCTTTTTTGTGGGGGATTTTAATTATAATGTGCTCGATTACGACACAAATAAAAATGTAAAAAATTTTATGAACATTATATTTTAAAATGGTTTCATTCCAACAATAAATAAACCAACACGAATTACTAGGAATAGCGCAACCTCAATTGATCAAATATTAATTAATAAATATACAAAAAACAAAATAAAAACTGGAATAATAATATCTGATATATCGGATCATTTCCCAATATTTATAATCGCACATAAGGTTGTTGAACACACACCTCAAAAAAAAGTTATTATTACAAATCGAATATATAATGACATTTCTATGGAACTTTTTAATAATTCTCTATTTTCTGAAAACTGGGACGAAATTTTGCAAACTCAAAACACAGATACTGCTTATAACAGTTTTCTTCAGGAATAATAAAATCATCAAAAAAAAACAATTGTATGAAGTGTTTCTGAAAAAAAGAACTTATGAAAATGAATTAAGGTATAAAAATATAAAGGTCACTTTGAATCAACTATAAAACTTTCAAAAAAGTTAAACTATTCAAATAAAATGATAAAATTTAAAGGCGATACTCAAAAAGCGTGGCAAGTCATTAAAGAAGTAATTGGAAAAAAAAACACTTAAGCTAAATGGTCTTCCAAAAAAACTAAATTATTATCATCAAGATATTACAAATAAATCTATAATTGCTAAAACATTTAATGAGGTGTTTGTCCATGCAGGTTTAAATTTAGCATCAAAATTAAAACACAGTGAGTTTAACAAAAAGAAATACTTGGCTCCTAGCAAATTAATAACGGAAAATGCTGAGTTAACAGAGAAAGAATTAGTAGATGCTGTGCATTCATTAAAATTAAACAAAGCACTAGGAGTTGATAGCGTTAGTAGTAATTTTGTAACTAAATGTATTTTCTATATTAAAAAAGTTCTTCTGCATATATTTAATCTTTTGTTTAAACAAGAAATCTTTCCAAAAAATGGAATCAAAAATATAAACATGGCTTGGTTCAAAAGCTACTTATCTAATAGAAAACAATATATTTCATTTGGCAATGAAAAAACTAACAATATGACAATTACTTGCGATGTTTCTTAAGGATCGATATTAGGACCACTTTTATTTTTAATCTATATTAATTATTTAAGCAAAGCTTCTAATATTCTAGGTTCTATATTATTTGCTGATGATACAAATTTATTTTATTCTCATAGTGATTTAACAACATTATTTAAATCGGTCAACATTGAACTTCTAAAACTAACTGAATGGTTAAATATGAATAAACTTTTAATTAATTTAACTAAAACCAAATATACTATCTTTCATCGCCTCCATAAAAAAGATAAAATCCCTATTGCACTTCCAAAACTTATTATTGGAGAATACAACGTAAAAAGAGAATGTTCAACGAAATTTCTTGGTGTAATACTAGATGAAAGCATAAATTGGAAAGACCACATAAACATGATTGAAAACAAAATTTCTAAAAATATCGGATTACTCTATAAAGCAAAACCATACTTAGATCAATCATGTTTGAAATACATATATTACTCATTTATTCATTCCTATCTTAATTATGCAAACGTTGCTTAATACAGCACCAATAAAACAAAGACAAAAAAGCTATTTAGCAAACAAAAACATGCAATCAGATTATTATCAAACGCACACCACCTCTCACATTCTAGACCATTGTTCAACAATCTAGAAATATTAAATGTGTACCAATTAAATATATATCATCTGCAAATTTTTATGTATAAAACTAATAATAATACAATACCAAATATCTTCAAACTATTATTTAATAAAATTTAACACAAATACATGACTAAATATTCAAATAACAACTTTGTTCAGCCCAAAATTATATATGAGTCCACCAAGTTCTCAATAACTATTAGAGGACCTAATGTATGGAAGTTAATTAGTAATGATATCAAAACACTTACAACTTTTGAACAGTTTAAACAAAAGCTAATAATATTGCTTTTAAATAACAATCAAACAGAGAATTATTTTTAAATCTATTTTTAAAAATATTATATTTGAAAATTATCTATTAGTGCATACTTTATTTGTCTGGAAAGGAATAAAGTCTTTAATTATATATACATTACTGTCAATTATATTATAAAAAAATAACTATGGATTTACAGCATTTATGTACGAATGTGTGTGTATGTGTATATGTATGCGTGCGCAAGTGTGTATATGTATACATATATACATACATGCGTATGTATATATTTTTCATGTTTTCTTTTAATATTAGTTACAACGTATTTATATAAATATCTTGAAAAAACAAGGGACTTGGTGATAAGGCAAACCTGTCTTCTTCTCGTCCTTGCCATTTTTATATATATATTATAAAACACAGAACTTGTAAATATTTGTACGGCTAAATAAATAAGGAAAAAAAAATACAAGAGTAAAGCTAATACCACAGGACTTTCTAAATATATCTGAGAAAATAAAAAAAAGGTCATTTCAAATCCTATTCTTATGTGGAGGATTATTGATAGGGCAAAACCATTTAAACCTGGAGGAAAGTTGTGTAACCATTGTTTATTTTATATTGTTTATTATCTTTGAAACTATTGAATAAATAAAATGAACTGATATCAAAATGTTGCCACAAAAACAAATTTGTTATCTGCAACTTTAAGGTCATCTAAACTAACACTGTATGGTATCTTTATCTCTGAAAAAATCCAGAGGCATTACATTGCACTCAGAGGACACACATCCGAAAAACCATCAGTTTGAGGAAATTTAGTCTGCATTACATGATGAATAGCCTTTGGACTGTATGCAAGCCATACATAGTGGAGGATGAAAATTCATTTCATGTGACAAATTTTGAATTCCAATGCCAAGGTTTTTCAACACCTTCTTCTGAAGATCTTTGAGGAATTCTGCTGTATGAACGCAAACAGATTGTCTGTTATGGAACTTTCATCTTGCTACAGCCTCATAGTCACTATTGCAAGTCTCTAGTTCATGCCTGATTGATTTTCTGCGTTCAGGGAGCATTGAGCAGCAGTCATAATATCCTTATTTTAATAGCCAACACAAATTATCATGATGCAAGTTATTCTCTTCCACAATTCAGGTGGGTTCCAGTCATTCATCCTCTCTGACATTTTTTATATGAATGAAGAAGACTCCAGACTTTAAATGATGAGTAATATGTGTTATACTTTCTAACTTACAGAAAAATATAATCAGTAATAAATATGTCAAATTTATTTAAACACCCTGTATATATATATATATATATATATATATATATATATATATATATATATATATATATATATATATATATATATATATATATATATATATAAATATATATATATATATATATATATATATATATATATATATATATATATATATATATATATATATGTATATATATATATATATATATATATATATATATATATATATATATATATATATATATATATATATATATATATATATATATATATATATTAAACCACTACAGTTGTTTAAAGGTATTATTTACTAATGTCATACACTGCTACACAAAATCAAAAAAAACTGTTTGTAACTCAGACTAAAACAATATTATATTTTTATATTCAATTTAGATTTTATTTTATATTGAAAATATGCACAAACAAATGAAAATATAAGAATAAAAACATGTCCATTACATGGAATAAATGAGCTTCATTCAAGTGAATGTATGAAGAAATTAAAAAATATGGAGTTTAGTAGGATACTTCTAATTTTCAAATTTTAATTACTTATGCATCTTTGACTAAAAGTAATATTTTTTAAATACCCATTTGGTCCTCATACTTACTAACATATTTAATTAACTAAATATTAAGAACATACTAACATATGAATTGCAACCAAATCATTTGACTAGGAAACTATTAGTATATTTGTTTTTTCTCACCTGTTTTAATCAAATTTAAACTAAACAAAACATTTAAAACCAATAATTTGAAAACGTTTTGTTATTTCAAAATGCTAAGGCCATACTGAAAAAATGTTTTTTTATATCTCATTTTAAACATTTTATGTTAAACTTTGTAGTAATTTAAAGGTAATGAAAAAGATAATAAGAAATCAAATCTTACTAATACTTCAATGCTTGCACCAATTGTTGAAGAACAGTTATAACAAGGGCTTTGTGAAACAAGGCTGTTGACAAATGTAGACTTACCAACACCTTATAAACAAATATGAGATTAAAATTTTTTTATGATCATCATTTTTTAACACAATTAGAATTTTAAGCATACCAAAAAATTATAACTCTAAAAAGATTCATAAAAAGAGAAATTAATGCTAAAAGAATTAAGCTAAAATATATTATTATGTTTTAAAACTGTATTGTGGTCAAACACAATCTATACATAACTATTTCCAAAACACTTTCTAAATTGCAACCTGCTTTTATTTAAAAAATAATAATTCAAACAAAATCTTTTTCAATTAAAAACCATAGAATGTAGAGTCGAATTCTAAAACCTCCAATTTTAACTAAATATTTTACCCTAAATACTCACAAAAAGTTCTTTTTTTATAATTAACAATTGTAATTAGACCATAACACACTAATAATCTTTTTATTAATCTTTTTCTCTCTTTATATTTTACCTCATTTACTTTATTATTATTATTATTATTATTATTATTATTGCTATTATTATTATTATTATTATTATTATTATTATTAATTACAAAACTTTTTATTTTATTTAACTGAAACAATCTATTTTTTGCAACTTATAATCCATAACATTTGACTAAAAACCAACCCTTTAAGTAATCTTAGGCAGGGACACCACCAAAATTACCACGTTCCTGGTAGTACCGCGCTCAACTCGTTTCTCAGCGCAGCGGCTTTGTTCGTCAAGGTTCGTGTTTCGGAGTTATAGAGTTGAGAGAGGGTTATAGCCACAAATAAGTAGCCTCCTCGTCTGTAGTGGCCTTCCCGGCCTTGAGGAGGTGAATTAAAATCAAAAAAAAAAAAAAAAAAAAAAAAAAAATTAGAAGAAAATTCCATTTCATAAAACTCTTTTAAAGTATCTGTAATTACAAAATATTTATAAGAACAAATACAAAGAAAGCTTGCTCTACTGTTACAATATTTTCTTTGCAATTAATAAATACTTAATTGTATTAAAACATCTTACAGTTATTTCATTAATTCAAAAGTTTTATTATTTCTATTCACTCTTTTTTGTTCAGATTACATCTCTGCATGAAACCACCATTCTACAATGGCACATACAAACCAAAAGGAGGCATGCAGTAACTACCCCAGATAGCAAATGGACAAAACTATGAAGGCCATAGCTGCTGGTATTCCAGTTAAAAGGGCCTCTGAGACCTACAAAGTTTCCAGATCAACTCTTTGAAATTATCAATGCGGTAAAACAAACATATTGGATTTGCTTGGGATCTGGCTTTGCTAAGACATCAAATCCTTGATAAACAAAAGAGAACTTTTCTAGGCAAGATTAGGCTTACAGATTTTTAAAAAGACACAACTTAATTTTACAAAGAACTGGTTAGAATATTTTAAGGAACTGTGCAATTGTAAGTGAAGAACATATTATTTTCTTTTAACAATCTGCCAGCCTGATCAGGGACATTGTCCTTCTAATGAATTTTATGATAAGACTAATCTTAGCAACAACCCTGGCTCCAAGAAAATGATTTACCTAAATAAAATCATAAAGACTTAAATACCTTAGCAATTTTTTAGGAATTTTTGTATTTAATTGTCTTTGTAATTTGAATTTTCATTTTAATAATCTAGTTTAAAGATTTGAATAATACTTCCTTTAATTTTGGTCTAACTACTCTAAATGGCCTAACTACTTAAATAAAATTTTTATCAATAAGTTGTTGTTAGAGTTTTAAAGCTACATAGCTGATTTTCGCATACAGTGTGCCATTTGTAGAAATAATTATTGAATAAAATCTATAGCTCTTGCATTTAGCAAATTATTGAGAAAAAAAATCTGTCAAAATGTGGCCATACTACCACATCTGACAATATATATAAATAAAGCATTCAACAATGCTAACCTAAAAGTGTTTCAAGTTGGCAAAAAATTGTCAACCTCATTTTTTTTTTATGGTAACTCCTTTGTGTCAAATTTTTTTTTTTGCCAACCTGAAGCCAAACCTCTAACAGTTTAAGGTTGGCAATTTATTGCTAACCTCTTTTTTTATTTTCTGAGGGCTTATAAATAAATTATTATTAATGAATGAACATTTGCTATTTTTTTTTATTTTTTTTTTTGTGATATGGTTAGCAATTGTATATATATATATATATATATATATATATATATATATATATATATATATATATATATATATATATATATATATATATATATATATATATATATATATATATATATATATATATATATATATATATATATATATATATATATATATATATATATATATATATATATATACATATATATATATATATATATATATATATATATATATATATATATATATATATATAAAATACCATTCCAACTTGTAATATATATATATATATATATATATATATATATATATATATATATACATATATATATATATATATATATATATATATATATATATATATATATATATATAAAATACCATTCCGATTTGTAATATATATATATATATATATATATATATATATATATATATATATATATATATATATATATATATATATACATATATATATATATATATATATATATATATATATTACAAGTCAGAATGGAATTTTATATATATATATATATATATATATATATATATATATATATATATATATATATATATATATATATATATATGTATATATATATATATATATATATATATATATATATATATATATATATATATATATATATATATACATATATATATATATATGTTGCTTAATTGTTTATATTGATATATCAAGAGACAAACCATGATACAATTTAATTCTTTTTCAGAAAACTCCGTCCAATATTAGTATTGTGAAATATGATATTCATAGATATTCTGGTGTAATGACTATGCATAATTTCATTTTCATGATTTCAATTTGATAACATTATATATGAATGTTAGAACTTTTACTGTAATAATTTCTTTGACTGATAGCCAATTCAATTCATTAAGCATATCAATACTATGTGTAAACCATTTGTATTGGAGGATAGATCTCATTTAATCCATTTATTTTTGTATCTAGATATTCTTTACAGATAACCTGTTGTTTGTTTTTTAAATATTTTTTATTTAGATATTCTGATGATTATTCAGACTCGCTTTTAAAAACTAAAATGCTATAAAATTTAATGATAAATTTTACTCCAAATAGTAACATACTGTTTAAAATCTATACCAGAATCTCCCAACACAAGCAATTTAATACGATCCATATGAGCTGCCATCTTATATATTTACATATAAAACGTAAACACAGAAAAGTTACAAGTACGTCCGAAATGGACTTGATTTATACATACTTTATTTTAGCTTTTCGCCTTCGTCGAACACCAGAAGAAAGAAAAAATGTGGTTGGCTGTTATACCAGATAAGAAAGACACCGTTGTTTGTGAAAAGTACTGGTCTGTTGTATACGTTTCAACAAAAGATTATGAAAAAAAAAGTCCTTTTGATCCTCCATTTGTGTGTAAGTGCCTAAAACTAAGTTTAATACCTAAACCTGGGTACGCATAAACTGTTGTTTCACATCAAAATCGACTCGAATCGTTCAGGGGCTCTCATTTGCTATTCTTTTAACATATAACAAGGCTACACGCTACCAACCACAAACTGGAAGATTTCCCGTCATTTTTCCGCACAAAAAAAGATGTAACGTCTTCTTAGTGATTTCGGAATTTCAACAAAATCATTATCTCTTCTCCAACACAACTTTTTATTATCCATTCCGACTTGTAAACCACGAATTCTTGCTCCTTCGGATACGTGGACCACCGGCTTGCAATGAAGCCCATAGTTTTTTAAATGATTAAGTACGCGACGAACAGATATTATGTCTTCATTCACAAAAATATCATCAATGTATAATGACGTTCCTTTCCAGATTGTTTCGTCTTGCGATAACACTTCGTCCAACACCGATTTCATTATGACTGGCGCAACGTTTAGTCCGAATCCCAAACGTGTTAAACAAAATCTTTTTCCACGGAACACAACAGTTTGGTAAGCCCAAAGTTTCTCATCAATTTTTAGTTGCATGTAAACTGAATATAAATCAATTATTAAAATATTTTCTCCAAACCGTCTCCAATCTCAAAGTTTGTCAGCACACGCATCTGTGTTCGCAGTGAATGCTTCAATAAACGTGTTCAACTCCCTGAAGTCCAATACTGGTCGTACTTTTCCTTTATTTCGCTGCACGACTGCCATGAGAGGAACCAAACCTTTTATTAGACCGTGTTTCTTCAAATCGTACTTTTGCAGCCATTTTTTCTTTATCCATCCTTTAATTTCTTTTTCGTAATTGTGTTTTATGCCAACAGGGATGTGTATTCAGCAATCTTGTTCACTAAAGTTTCAGGTTAAGAATTATTATTCCATTTCCACGCAATTGTCCATTATCGATTTTGTTTTTCAAACGAAGCTGTGAAATTTCGAGCTGTTATATTCAAATTACTGACATCTTTTGGCATATCACTTCTTATTCCAAGTAAACATGATTCTTTTCGTCCCATAAAATAAACATCAAAAGTTGCAGATATTGATACTCCACCAAAAGCTACTATTCCATCCATACCCATCAAAAAACAATAACCAAGTGGTTTGAAATCAACTACAAGTGCTTCTACAAAAACTTCATTCCCATTTGGCGTGACGATTCGAGTTCGGCTAACGCCTTCGCACTGTTGTTGTTGTCCATTTACAGTTACCGTGCTAACTACTTTCTTCGTAATTTTTGGTGCACATTTTTTATAAATGATACAGCAGGTCCATCCAGAGTCAATCAACACATCACGAAGAGCGCCGTTTATTTACAAGCGTATGGTAGGTAAAGCCATTATTGATTGACACGAGTAACACAAACCATCGCTTGTCTCCCTTCTCCGACCCAACTTGCTTCGATTGCTATGTCTTCGTAGATGACAATCTCTTGCAAAATGATTGGGGAGTTTACATTCATAACAAACTGGTTGTGTTTAATCTTCAAGCAACCTCAACTCAGCACGTCTTTTTGTTGCAGCAGCAGCAAAGTTTTCATTCGTTCCATTGTACCGTTCTTCAACCATGAGTGCTCTTGCTCGCGCAACTATTTGTATGGTAGTATCATTCCTAATCGCAATTACTGTCACCGCGAAAGAGGATTTTATTTAAAAACTTTGGCATATAAAATTCGCCGAATGGTCATCCATACGAAAACTTGATCTCAGCATCCATCTAATTTCCTCAGGAAGCCCAGAAACGAAGGCACATTCAATAGCTCTGTCGGGTAGACCACCCCTATCAGCGTAGATAGTCTCCGCAGTTCCGCCAAATAAACATCAACTGCCTCTCCATGCTTTAACTTTCTTGTAACTTATTGTTCGTAAGCTGTAAATGCATCAACGGCAAAAGCTTTTAGCAACGCGTTTTTTATCCGGTCAAAATCTTCTTTATCACTTTCTGCAAACTGTTGATATACTGCAAATGCACCATTTGTAAGACGGAGGAGAACAACACTCGCCAGATCAGTTACATCAATTATTTTGCATACTAGTTCCACTTTTTCCAGGCATTCTGCAACTGATTGTTGATCGTTTTCACTAAACTCTGGAATCAACTTTAAATCAATTTTGGTCGACGTTTTTGCCGAAATAGCTTTTTGTTTCACATCAAAATCGACTTTATAAGTTTAGCGTTAAACGCCTCATATTTTCTAATGCAATTCAACATAATTTATATACAATCATATTCTCTTGGTATTTACAACTATGACGCAAAATACAGTCATATATACAATCATATTCTCTTGGTATTTACAACTATGACTTTATATTATATACAATTATCTACAGTTAACGCAAATCCATCGTTAAAAATCATAAAATATAATTACACTTTACAAATTTTGTACCACCTTTTTTTCAGTATTTTCGAGAGTAGTTTGATATGAACATGTTTTTTTGTGTTATTTTTTTGGAAATTTGTATCAGCATAGATTGTTTTTTGTATTAGAAGAGTTTAACTTTAATTATGCAAAGAAATATTTTAATGTAAAATTTTGTTTATAATGAATTTATTGTTGTTTAAAACTTCCTAGTTGTTTCTGCAGCAGGGATGTATTGAAGGAATGCTGAGACTTTTTTCTAATATATTCAGACATCATCAAAAATATTTTTTTTTGCTAGCTGCCAAATTTCATGAATAAAAAGCACCCCAGACACCCTCGGAACTTAAGTCAAAATTAAATACCTATTTTTGGCTTAAGTTCCGTTATACACACGGGTAGTTGGGTGAGGGCGTATCATAATAAACATTTAAACATTAATAATTTTTAAATGTTTATGATATAAAATAATATTGAATAGCATATATAAAATATAAAAAAAGTAAAAAAAAGTTCAAAATTTCAATAAAAAATAAAAATTTTATTTTAAAAAACTTAGATTTTGAATATATTAAAGGGTGTTATAGATGCCCCCCTTCTTCTTCCTCTTCTTCTTTTTCTTCTTTTTCTTCTTCTTTTTCTTCTTCTCTGCATACGTCTTTTATATATCCTTATTCTCCTTTTTAAGATCTTTCTTTTAATACCAATTTTTATAAATTATGATAAGAATTGACAAAGTTATGATATTTTAAGTTAAGAAAAACCTCAAATTTGGTCACGGTTTCTTCAACAAAACCACATATCAAAAATTAAGTACTTAAAATGCTATAACTTTTAGTAGAATTGTTCGATTATAATAATATGTTCCTCATTAAAATACTATTTTCAAGGTCTTACCAATGATATATAACAATCTAATGTTTGATTAATTTAAAAATTTAATGTCACATAATGTCACATAGCAATTTTTAAAATAATATTATTCAATATTATTTTAAAAAAATTTAATGTCACCCTACCTATTAAACAATCTGGTTGTTCCAGAACAACTTTAAGATCACACGCAGTAACTAGAAATGTTCAACCCTAATTTCAATTTTAAAGATCTTTCAAAATCTTTCAATGATTTGAAAATAAACATAGGAAACTATAAATTTAATGGAAATGGTATATTTAATACTAAACCAGAAAATCAAATTTTGATTCAATCGTTAGAGTTGTTCATAGCACATTGAGTGTAATTGTTTGTTCTAAAAATAAATAACAATTTTCAGTCTGCATCTTTTTTCTTTTGAAGTCAAATGCCTAATAAAAATACTCTTACAGAACAGAATTACCATATTGAATAGATGGTCGCATATCGAAGAATCAGTTTGATTTTTAAATTCACATTTGAAAAACAGTAAAAAAAAGTTATTGAACAGCAAATTTTTTGAATGGGTGATAAACCTGTTATAGATAAAAAGTACTGTGTTGGAACATTGATACGAGAATTCGAATTCTTTGCATTGTCACGTGCTATAAATAATTATCTCCGAGAAGACTTTAAACTTCCTAGCATTACAACATTATCAAGACTAATATCAAAAGTAAAATCTATTCATGAAGATATTTATCTCAAAAAGGTTTTTTCAAGCTTAGCAAAAACATTAGACATAAATACTGCATTTTTTTTTATTAGATGAAGTTTATGTTAAGACTATGTTGCAGTACCATAAGGGAACAATTTTTGGAAAATCAATTAACAATCTAAATGCAAATTAATTTTTATGGCTATTACAATGTTTGATGGACTTAAATTTTTATAGAAATGCTTCCTGTGCGTAAAATAATTAAAATTTTCTTTTTGAACAAACTACCTTTCTTTTTTCAGCCATTAAGCAGCAGGTGGCTGTGTTTCTATAGTTTGTGATGGTAACAGGGTAAATCAAGCTTTTTTCAAGATACTTGAGACAGATAGCGTATCTTGACGTTTAAAAGATAATATATATCTTCTGTATGAATTTGTGCAATATTTGCAATAATTGGATCACTGAAAAGTCACAGGAACTTGAGTTTTTTGTTAATAAGAAAAAAAACGGTCTCACATAGTAGCATTGTATAAGTTAGAATCAAATCAAATGATTAAATATCAAAGTTTACAGATGTTGCTGTGCTTCCAAAACTATTTAAAAGACAAAAAGTTTCAACTCGTCTAAAAGTGTTTTTCAAAGAAACACTGTGCTTTAAAATGTCACCCAGAGTTAAAAAGTACTATTTCTTTTATTTCAATAATAATTAAATTTCGAAGAACTGCTGATCTTTGTAGCCTTTATGCAAATGTACTTATGCGTAATCAAAATGGGGCTGCTATTTTCTCTTTTGATGATTTTAATCTTCAAAAGCTATTTGAATTTGGAAACATGGCTA